AAGAGAGGGAGAGGGAGAGAGAGAAAGATCTTCCATCTGCTGGTTCATTCCCCAAATGGCTACAATGACTGCAAGCTAGACCAGGCAGAAGCGAGGAGCCAGGAGCTTCATCCCGAGTCCCACGTGGGTGCAGGGGCCCAAGCACCTGGGCCATCTTCTGCTACTTTTCCCAGGCCAGGAGCAGGGAGCTGGATCAGAAGTGGAGTGCTGGCGTTGCGTCGGCTGCTTAACCCACTGCACTCCAGCGCCAGCCCCTCAAAGCCTTTTAAGTCTACCAACTCCTCAAATCCCACATCGACTTGATGAGGGGAGTGTATCATTGTTCCCATTCAACAGATGGGGAAGCTGAGGCACAGAGGATCAAGGAACTCTGCCAAGGGTAAAAGCCGTTTAAGAGCTTGCCGTCTTTACCTACGCCCCTAACCTGCAGAGTTCCCCTTCCTGTTTCCAGTGTAGCAGACATACAACAGTAACTTCATTCCCTGGTCGAATCAGCTGTCCTGCGCTAATCAGGAGTTCCGATCAGCAGATGTGGTCTTAATTCTGATAAGGATATCAATGAATCTGGTTTCAGCAACGATCAGTTCAGTACCTGCTGGATGTAGTGTCCACACTGTACCCATCCACCCATCGTGTTTCATAATGAAAACCTTTGAACATGCTGACTCTGCTGGTGCGGGGGCGGGGGAGGCCTGGGTAGCAGTGAGAAGAGGTAGGACCCTCCTGTCTGGCAAACCACTGAGCCCTGGAAGGGGAAGGGACTGGCTAAGATGCACAGCCACTCACGGCCAGGATCAGGTCAGCTCCCCAGGGCACCTGCGCCTGCCTCCCACAAGGCTCTTTCCTCTGCCCAGGCCTGTGGCCAGCAGCCTGGCCTTGTGGCCAGCTAGGCCAGGGGTAGGAGGGCAAGGCAGGAAGGCTAGTGGGCACAGGAGGCCAGTGGGGAAAAGACCGTCCAGCCCAGGCCAGCCAAGGCCATTACCAAAGCCTCAGAATGGTTAAGTTGTGCCTTGAGCAGGTAAGCAGAAAGGTTGGAGCCCACTCCGCCTCCCTGCCTTGCGTCTCCCTGGCAGGCAGTGTCAGGGCTCCTTGGCGAGGCCAGGAGGAAAAAAGAACCAAGGTCCAGGGGCCCCCATCCCATCTCTCCATTTTCTTGCTGCCCTGAAATATTCATAATAATTATGAATTAAGTATTCGAAATGATTAATATTGATGTCCCTCCACCTGGCCGGCTCAGGTGAATTCTGTGTCTCCAGCCAGGTTCGTCTCTTGGCTGGGTAGCTCCTGAGGAGCAGCCGCCAGCCCTGGCTGAATGAACAGGTGCAGCTCCGGGTGCACCTGAGCCACTGGGCCCCGGACAGCACGCTGGGTCTGGAAACAAGGATCCGGGACGACCGCCCTGGTTCTGCCACTCGCCGGCTCTGGGGCCTCCAGCAGGTTGCTTCCTCCTCTGGTTCCCTCATCTGTCGGGACCACGTGACCACTGAGGACCTTTCTGGGGCCACGAACCAGGAAGTGTGTGGCGGATTCAGAGAGCAGAGGTGGGGAAGAGGAGGGCAGGGTAGCCTGGTGGCTGGGTGCTCCGAGGGGCGGGGCCAGCATCGCACTAGGAGCCGGCACCCTGGCGGATTCATCCGCAGATGCGGTGGGAGGGGCTCCCCAGAGAACCCGCCCCCAGCACAGCCTGGGCTGGGCACAGGTTAGACGGCCGTCTTCTGGTCCTCTTGCTCCAAACGCCAGCACGGTGAGGCATGGGCCGGGCAGGCAGCTCTTGCCAGATTGCCAATCACTTCCCAGAAGCTGCTGGGCCTCCTGGGACCAGCTCCACCCGGACGGGCACCCCTCCAAGCTGGGTGCCCACGTCAGCAGGTCCTCCCAGCTCTGTGCCGTTTTTTGCCCAGTGACAATACAGGCTAAGGGGGTGGGGGGAGGGAGCGGGGGTGCTTCTCCGAGGAGCAGGTGCTTCCCCGGGCACAGCCTTCCTGTTTCTGCTTCTGCCACAGTGCCCGAGGCTAGGGCCCCAGGCCTGGGCTGGCCCCTTCTGAGCGGACACATGGGCTCTGACTCAGGCCTGATGGCCCTGGCCACCTCACACACCCCTCCCCCCGCCCCAGGCTGCGTGGCACCAACTATGAAGTGGAGATAGTCATAACAATGGCCTTGGGATGACGTCAACGCGTCTCTGAAGGCCAAGGGCTTATCATCCTTAAGCCTCTGCCCGTGGGGGAAGAGCGGACAAGTCGTGGGGGACAGCTGACCTCGGGAGGGGTGTCTCCCCTGGAGCTGCCGCGAAGAGGCCGGTGGCCCTGCTAAGGGCCTCTGGTAAGGCCTGGACATGTCACTTGCTTGGAAAATTCAGCAGGAGGCGGGCAGGGGAGGGAGCTGTCACTGCGGCTGAGGCTGGGACCTGAGGGTGCCTAGACCGGGGCAGGAGAGGCAGGACGAGGGCAGCAAGGAACGCACAGTGCGGAGAAAGTGGTGGGTGCGTCTGGGCATGCGGTGGGACGCAGGGTGGCTACTGAGGGTGTTCCAGCGGGGCAGAGTCAGGAAGGTGAGCTGCCATCAGGTCAAGGGGTGGGGGTGCCACAGACACTGTGCATGGCTCCCAGAAGCTGGGATCTTTGTGGGCAGCACACGGCGGGCATGGGGCTGCCAGGCAGACAGGCCCTGGGCTTTCCAACCAGGTGGTGGGGCTCGGAGAAGTCTCAGCCTGTGAGGAACCCCGGGCAAGGTAGTGATGGTGGTAGAGAGCGGTCCCATCCCCTGATGGTGGACTTGATTGCCTGACCCCACGGAGGTCAGGCACCCCCCACCCCACAGCCTGGACCCCCAGGCTGGCTTCCCCAAGGACAGCCCACGCCACAGGTTCCTCGTGCTCTCCATCCAGTCTGTCTTCTTCCCCCGGAGGGCAGCCGTGGCGGGCAGCCAGGGTGGAGATTAACACAGCTCAGTCCCCAGAGTGTAGACAAGGCAAAGACCCAGAGAGGGGAAGGGATCTGCCCAAGGTCACACAGTCAGCACGCGGCACCGCTGGGGCCGGGACCTGCCCCACCAAGCCCTGCCAAGCCCCATCCACAGTGCGACACCTCCCCCAACCCATGCGTTATGGTGCCAGCCTGGGGGACAGGGAAGGACGGGGTGAGAAGTGGCTCTGGCTCAGGGCCTGCCCAGCTGTCGAGGTGAGTTGTGGCCTGGCTGGTGGGGCCAAGCTGGCGGGCACAATCTGTTCTCACCCTGCTGGGGCACGGACAGCTCGGGCACGGGGGCTCAACAGCTCAGCTGTTAGGCCCCTGGTAAAGGGTGGTGTGGCCATTGGCTTGATGCCTTGGCAACGGGCAAGGGAGCCCAGGCTCGGGGCAGCCCACGGCCTCCCAGGCCCTGAACAGCTGTCCCCAGAGTCCCCCAAGCTCCAAGATCCAAATGGCCCCGGGGCCGGCAGAGATGCCAACTTTACTGGAACCGAGCTGCCCCCAAGCCCGGGTGCTCTCTTGGAAACGTGACAGTAGCCTGGCACTCCATCCATTATTAATCACAGCGAGCCATTATTGAGCACTTGATATGTAGCAGGCCCTACGCTAAGTGCTTCACGCACATTACCTCACTCATTCCTCCCCACGAATGCCGTGAAGCAGGTGCCTTCTAGCAGCCTCATCTGACAGCTGTGGAAACTGGCTCAGAGAGGGTCTACACACCCATGCAGGCACCACACAGGTCACACACACACACACACACACACGTGCACGCACGTGCACGCTTCCATCGTGGCAAGCCAGGGTCTGAACTCGGATCAGACACCAAAGCACACAGTAGCCTGCCTTGCGATTTAGTTATCAAGCATACTTTGGGTCCCCCTGGGAGAGGCTGGCAACATGGAGGGGAAGCTGGAATGGAATGTGACACAACCCCCCCAAGCTAGTGTTGGGGGTGGAGATAAACTGGCCCCGGTGCTCAAAGCTGAACATCCTTAGTGCCACTCAAATAAGGAATCCAGGGAGACTGCGTGGAAGAAGCAGCATTTGGTTAAGATTTGATAAGGCTTAGAAAGGAGGAAAAAATTGGAAAGGCTGCCAGCATTATTTTATTATCTTAATTCTGTTAATAAAAGTAATAAATATCTCAACAGATCGGTGAAGAAAGCAGAGCCAGGGCTGGTAGAGTCATTTACACATGAAGAAACATGCCCAGAGCGAGGGACTACTTTGCCCGAGGTCACATGGCCACCAGGGATGGGGGCAGCACTCCCACGAGGGGCTTCCCAGTTCCCATCTCGGGTCCTCTGCCCTCCAGGTGGCCGGCAGAACTCCTGATGTAAGGTCACTGGAGGTTGGCCTGTGCTGGCTCCTGGCTCAACGAGGGCAGGGTGCAGAGACATCTGGGGACAGCAATGCACCCGGAGGGGCTCCTGCTGCGCCAGGCGTCACCCCACGCCTCCGTGAGGACAGACCCTGCTTGGGGGCCAAACCCACAGCAGGAGCTGGGGACCCCAGACTGGGGACATCCATTCATTCCGCTGAGGAGCAGTCCAAGCAGTCTGCAAAGCCCCAGTTCCAGTCACCCCCAGAAGTCCTGGATGGTATCCGGGCCTCAGTTTCCCTCCCTGCACCCCGAGTCACAGGAGATCAGAATCCCTTCAGTCCAAACATCTCTCCTTACAGTCAAGGGAACCGAGGCCCAGAGGCTACACGGAACCGGGTCTGCAGGCTGACCGGGGCTCTTGCCCCGCTCCCTGCTGCCTTGGACCAAGTTCCCCGCAGCAGGAAGCCTCAGTGTCAAGTTCAAACGCAGGGTTCCCGCCAAGTGTAAACAGTGTGGCCCCGAACCCGGCCCTCAGCCCTCCCTACACCCTCCTTCCTACCTTCAGGAGTTCGTCCCCAGGGTGCCAGAAGCACGGGTCAGCACTGGTCGGAGCAGCGCGGCTCCTGCGCAGTGCGGGAGGTGGGGCGGGTGTTGCAGTCGCAGCCCCGCCGCGAGCCCTTCTCTCTCGCGCCCGCTCCCCGCAGGTTACGGCCACGCGGCCCCCAGCACGGACGGCGGCAAGGTGTTCTGCATGTTCTACGCGCTGCTGGGCATCCCGCTCACGCTCGTCATGTTCCAGAGCCTGGGCGAGCGCATCAACACCTTCGTGCGGCACCTGCTGCACCGCGCCAAGAAGGGGCTGGGCATGCGGCGCGCCGACGTGTCCATGGCCAACATGGTACTCATCGGCTTCTTCTCGTGCATGAGCACGCTGTGCATCGGCGCCGCCGCCTTCTCCTACTACGAGCGCTGGACCTTCTTCCAGGCCTACTACTACTGCTTCATCACGCTCACCACCATCGGCTTCGGCGACTACGTGGCGCTGCAGAAGGACCAGGCGCTGCAGACGCAGCCGCAGTACGTGGCCTTCAGCTTCGTCTACATCCTCACGGGCCTCACGGTCATCGGCGCCTTCCTCAACCTCGTGGTGCTGCGTTTCATGACCATGAACGCCGAGGACGAGAAGCGCGACGCCGAGCACCGTGCGCTGCTCACGCGCAACGGGCAGGTGGGCGGGCTCGCTGGCTGTCTGGGCGGCGGCGGCGGCCGTGGGGGCAGCGGGGGCGGCCGCGGGGGCAGCGGGGGCGGCAGCGGCAGCGCGCACACCACTGACACCGCCTCATCCCCCGTGGCGGCGGCGGCGGCGGCGGCGGGCGGCGGCGGCTTCCGCAACGTGTACGCCGAGGTGCTGCACTTCCAGTCCATGTGCTCCTGCCTGTGGTACAAGAGCCGCGAGAAGCTGCAGTACTCCATCCCCATGATCATCCCGCGGGACCTCTCCACGTCCGACACGTGCGTGGAGCAGAGCCACTCGTCGCCGGGAGCTGGCGGCCGCTGCAGCGACACGCCCTCGCACCGCTGCCTGTGCAGCGGCACGCAGCGCTCGGCCATCAGCTCCGTGTCCACCGGCCTGCACAGCCTGTCCACCTTCCGCGGCCTCATGAAGCGCAGGAGCTCGGTGTGAACGCGCGCGGGGGCCGGGGGGCGCGCCCGCAGCGCCCCGGGGAGCGCAGGCGGGAGGAGGGGGCCAGGCGCCGCGGGACACACACACACACACACTCAAACCGCCTTCGGCCCCGTGGGGCGCCCCCAGGACCCCCTCACCACTGTCCCCCTGCCCTCAGCTCCGACTGTGCCTGCTCGCACCAGCCAGCAGAAAGCCGGGGCGCTCAGGGCTCCAGGAGCCCCCATCGGAGCCCTGCAAATTCCGAGAAATGTGAAACGTGGTTAGGGGGGTGGGGGGTCGGGAGGAAAAGCAGAAGCTGGGAGCCGCCCCTCCCTTTGGAAATCTAAGAAGCTCCTGGGTCCTCAGAGGCCCCCCTGGGACCCAGACATCCCCCTCCCCCGCTCCCCAGGGGCCTCGCCCCCCTGTTTGTTTGCATCTCTATTTATACCTCTGTCCTGCCAGGTCTCCCACCTCTCCTTGGCTCCAAAAGCCAGGGTGTCTTTGTCCAGGTCCCCCCCCAACAGAGCCCCACTCCCCCGTGCCCCCAGCTGTGGCCCCCAGCCTCCCGCTCCCTTCTGTGGGGCTTGCATGGCTTTGCGGTGATGGAGACAGTGGGAACCCAGTGGCCCCTGAAGCCGGTCCCCAGAGGGCAACCAGAAGGCAGGCGCGACAGGCAGACCGCAGCCGGGCACGGGCACGAGGGGAGTGGGGGAAGGCATTGGCAGGTGCCCCAAGCCACATGCTCCTGGGGGGCAGGGGAACCCCAGCCTTCCAGACACTGCCCTTGGAATCTGGAATGGAAAACTTGCGATCTATTGATAATGACCACCACATCTGTGGAGTGGCTTTGAGCCTCCGAAACCCCCATACTGCCTGCTCATTTGAGCTCACAGCCACCCAACTGAGTCTCCGGGGAGGGGGAGTTATTACCCCATTTTGCAGATAAGGACACTGAGGCCCAGGAAGGCAAAATGACCTGCCCAAGGCAATGCGGGCAGAGTAAAAGACAACGGGGAACAGGGGTCCAGCCTGCCTGTTCCCAGCCAGAACGGTTTTTCCCTCCAGCTCGGCCTGTTCCGGGAAGCAGAATTCCCACCCTGTGTACCTGGCATCGTGAGAACAGCTGGGGTTTCTCCCAGACCTGGGCCACTGCTGAGGCCAAGCCTGTGCTGCCCTTAGAGGAGGCGGGGGAGGGCCTTGGGACCAAGGTTAGCAGGGCTGGGTCTCACAGAGGCCAGGAGCTGGGGCCCACTGAGTCTGGGACTTGGGCAGGTCAGCCAAGAGCACTGGCAGCCACAGCCTACAGAGACAGCACCCTGGCCCGCAGCTGTCACTGGTACCCACATCCCAAGGGAGTAGAGGTAAGCTGACGCTGAACCTGGGTGCCCTCTGCCCAGCCCCTGCAGCCCAGAAGCCCCAGGGAGCCCACAGATGGGTGCTCACTGTCCAGGACCTGCAGCTGGAACAGGTGTAGTGACCAGGACAACATCCTGGGGGGATACACGGCGTCTCCTCCCACAAGAATGGCTTCGAGTACTGTTCCCTGTCGGTCAGGGAGGATGGGGGAGGGGCGCGCAGGTGATCAGCCCCAAACCCGGCCCCCGCCACATCCGGGGGACCCCATGGAGGGAAGCAGTCCGGCCTGCGTGTGAGTCTTGTCTCACTGTGGAGTAGCTGAATGTCCACGTGCCCAGGAGCTTCTGGGGGTCCCCTCTGTGTTTATGTTGGGGTGTGGGCAGTGTGACTGCCTCTGTCCTGTGTGTGACCCTGCCCTCGAGGGGTCCTGTCCCGTCAGTCCCGAGGGAGCCACGACCAAAGTTGCAGAGAGAGAGAGGGAGTGGGGAGAAGGCGGACGCACGGCCCAGGCTGGGTGTGGCTGGCAGCCCGTCTGCGGCTGGGTCTTCCCCGGGGCCCTGGAAGGCCGACCTTGCTCCCCTTCTCACCCTGTCCCATTGCAGGCAGCCTTTCTGCTTTCCCGATGCCTTATGCCTGGGCACACTGCCACAGAATATGCAATATGTGTGGGTGACCCGCCCCACACCCACACCCGGGCAGCCCCGGGACCCCCAAGGCTATGGCTGCCACGGCCTGCCCTCAGCTCCCCTGCCTATCTGTCTTCACACTGAGAATGGCGCCTAATAAATGCTGTCCTTGGAGACCAGGCTTGGGCTTCAGCTGCTTCTGTCATCGCGTGCCCTGGGCGCCACCCGCGAGCACCCAGACTCTCCCGTGCCCCTGGGGTCTACGGGCACCCCAAGCACTCGCATCTTTTCAGCTGGGGCCTTCGGGACAAGCCTGATGGCCAACACTGACTTAAAGTCCACCTGCAGCAGAGCAGGATAGCAAGACCTCAGACACCCTCAGAGTCTCTGCTACCCCCTGCCGGTGAGTGTAGAGGCCCAGAGAGGGCAAGCCACCTGCCCTGAGTCACACAGCTATGTTGTGAATGGCAGAACTAGGACCAGAGCCAGAACTGGGGATTCTTGATCCAGTGCCTCCCGGCCCCCACTTCAGCCAGGAGTGGGGGTGCCTAGCTCAGTGGCCTGATTAACAGAGAGATGTCTCTGTGGGACCGAGACAGAACCAGGGAGGGCATCCTCGCCGTCTGTTGGCATTAGCGGCCCCCCATCAGAGAGCCAAAGGCTCCCACACTTCATAGCGTTCAACCCACAGTAACCCAGTTTCCACCCGACTCTGTCTCCATCTGAGCCTGCACCTCATGTGGCTACCCACCTACCATTCACGGACCCGGGCTCGGTATCTGCCTCTCTATTTCCTGCTGTGAAAGGTTGCTCAGGAGCAAATTCAGTTCCCTGCAGCCCGATGATTTGCTACCTAGAGACTATAATGAAGGGAATGGAGATGCAGGCGATTTCTCCTCCCTCCTACCCACGTGGGGCAATTGAAGGACAGATGGAGGGGCGGAGCTATGCATGGGAGGGTCAGGGGTCAAAGAAAGAAGTGGTAGCACTGGCACCCCCACTCCAGAGGCAGGACACAGCCCCCCTCCCGGTGACAGTGGCCCTGGCCACTCCCTGCCTCTCTAGGTCGTGGCCACAGCTGGCCTGCGGCCCTCGGCATGGCCACAGCACAGCTGGGCCTTAGCTCCCATGGGCTCACCCACGCCTAAGGCCAACGAAACAAAATCCAGGCCCTAGTGACCTTGGCCCCACTGCCTCCGTCTTTCTTCCAACAGCTGGATGCCACCACAGTGGACACTCGTTCACGTGCAAGGTCAGCAGTGACCAGTTCAAGGTTACTTCTACTTTCTCATGACATGCTGACACCCACCCTCCTTGCTTCATCCATCGCCCGGGGCAAAACAGTCACAAGCAGACTTCGAAGGGATCCCCCAGGAGCTGGGTTTAGTGTTGTCCCCTAGGGGTGAGTGGCTGGTGGCCGCCAGGAAAGGCAGCAGTGAGCCACACCCGGCACCTGCCCACAGCCCCCAGGAGCTGGGCACCGCCCTTGGTTCTGGCGGGGGCTTTTGACCTCCAGGAGATGCCATCCCAACCTGTCTGCTTCCCACAGCACCCAAACCACTGACTGGGTTACTCGGCGTGGGCGGAAGACAGAGCTTCCGAGCAGCCAAGGGAAAAAGAGGGGGGCAAAAGCAACTACCCCCAAAAACAAGTCCTGTGCTCTGCCCGTGGGGAGACAGGGCCCAGGTCACCCACTCCTGGAGCTTCCGCAGGCGGCTGGGCTGAGCAAAAGTTCTGGCAAGTCTGACCACAAAGACACCACTTACCTGTGCTCCGCACGGCACTGCGCAGGCTCGTTCTCAGAACCGCCCCACCCGTCCGCCTGGCGTCCTTGAGTTGCCAATGCAGGCTTTGGGAACTGCCCGCTGTGGAAATCTGGTGAAGGGAGAAGGCTGCTCCAGCCCCTCACCCTGTGCTAAAGTCTCACAGGCGTTTCCAGAAGGTTGGAATGATACAAAGCACGCGTGCTGGTCTCCGTCACGTGCCAGATTAAACCAAGGCTCTGCGGAGCCCCAAGCCTACCAGCAGGCAGTGAGTCAGTGGCAAAGCTGGGTGTGACCCCAGCTGCGAAGCCCCTGCCCTTCCCCAACCCGCTGTGTGCCATCCCGGGGCCACCGTGTCTTCAGCAAAGGCTGGGCAGGTAGGGTGTGGTCATTTCTCCCGCAGAACCTTGGCCACTGTGGGGCAAAAATGACAGCTTCTGATGGAGCTGGGAAACGTGTCCCCCGCGGGCCCTTCTGTTCCCACAGTCACTGCCGTTTAGCTCCTGCTCGGGGATCAGTGTGCACCCACCCATCCCCCAAAGCCCAACAGCCTCCCCACAACTCATCGCCTGTGCCCTCAGGATGGACGTGTTGCCAGGGAGAGAGCGGCAACCCACAGTGGCTGTGTCAAGGTCCCCCACTCTGGGGCTCCCCCTACCACCTCCACTGAGCAGCTGGAAGCAGGAGTTCCTCCCCATCCCAAAGCTGGGTTCAAGGTGGGTTCAAGGTCAAAGGCTTTCCCAAGTGGCCCCTACAAAGCCCCTGTTGATGGTGGACTCCATTCCCTCTTCCTGCTGACCCTCGTGCTGGAATCACAGCCCCCAGCACTGCCTTTACCTTTGTCGAGTGTCACGTGTACACACACATGTGCACACACACTTACATACACTTTAGGTCACTTGCCCAGCTCTTCTTTGGCAGAGGAAAACATTCGGATTCTTAGAGAGGAAGTAACCTGTTCAAGGTCATGAAGCCAGATAATGGGTAGCCAGGATTAGTACCCGCATCTCCCAGCTTCCCGACACACACACACACACACATACACGCACACACAGGCACATGCACACGTGCGAGCAGGGGCCCAGCCTTCCCCGACTTCTCCGCCTCTAATTTCAGACGAAAGCCGCTAATCTTGGGTTGAGTCACTCTGATGCTGGAAATTTACCACATCCACATCCGCCCCAGCCAGGGAGACACTCCGGGGGGTGGGGGGGGTGAGTGTAGGAGGCACCCCGCCACCGGGCAGAGACTGGATTGGAACTGACCTCCCCAACCCCTCAGGCCAAGAACGCACTAGAAGGGCATTTGACCTTGACGGGGCTCTCACATCCTTCTCCCACCTGACCACCAGGACCACTCGGGCTTGCATGAGCACCGACAGCCCCCGTTTTACAGATGTTGAAACTACAGCTCAGAAGGCCAAGGCCCTGGGAACGGGGAGTGCCCCACAGCCCCTCTGTATCCGAGGAGAGCACCACGCGTCTCCTTGGGGGCCGGTGTCCTGGGCCAGCGCTGCAGCCCGAGCCCGACAGCTCTGAGCCAGTGAGCGCCCACAGCTCACCAGTCTCACAGCCCGCTGGGGTCAGGGAGCCCCAGGGGGCTATGGTTCGCAGAAGCCATTCCAGGAGAAGACAGAACTAGGGAATACTTCACCCACTTTGCCCTGGACCCGGGCAGACTCTGCCCAGAGCCCTAGACTTTGGATCAAGAGCAGCAGAATGTGCCGCCAACACCCCCCGACCTCCAGCTGGAGGGGTGAAGGTTCCTGGGGGGAAAGGTCTCACCTTTGACCCCGGCTGGCTCCCCACATCGACACTCCCCCCACTCCCCGACTGCAGAACAGCCTGGTCTGAGCAGAGATGGAGAGGCAGGAAGAAGGCTCCCTCCCCCCACTTGCTCCAGATCTGGCGACAGGGACATCGCTCCTCCAGATGGCAAGGGGCCAGCTGGGGAGACCTGGGGCACCACTGCGGCAGGGAAGCTGGCCCGGGCCTCTCCTCTCCTCTGCAGAAGAAATTCCCATTCTGCCCTAATTCCAGGGCTGCAAGAGCTCCGAGGACACCGGGTCCTTGCCAGCTTCTCCCCAACGGCGTCTTCATCAGGGGCCCTGCGGCTCTAATGCCCGGGCTCTTCCCCTGCTCCCTCCCACAGCTAGGACCACCTCAACACCTCCCCTAACCCGGCTGGGGGGGCACCTTGGCCTCTGGGGCTCCCGCCCTCGGAGGCACCCTCCTGCATTGAGCAGTGGCTCCAACAGCCACGAAGCCTTTCTTCTACTGAGACAAGGACCCCTTCCGGTCTGGACCTGCCCCCACAGAGGGTGCTGCGGTGGGGGGTGGAGCACCACTGCAAGCAACCCTGCCAGCCCTCCCCCGGCTGAATGCATTAAAAAAAAAGTTATTTATTTTATTTGAAAAAGAGAGAGAGATCTTCCATCTGGAGTTCACCCCCCACCTGGGTCACACTGAAGCCAGGAGCTTCTTCTGGGGCCCAAGCACTTGGGCCATCTTCTGCTGCTTTCTCAGGCGCATTAGCAGGGAGCTGGGTTGGAAGTGGAGCAGCCGGGACTCAACGGGTGCCCATAAGGCAGCGGCTTTAACCTCCCACACCACCGTGCTGGCCCCGCCCCAGTGCCTTTAGCCACATCTCCTAAATCCTCAGCAGCCTGGAGGGGCTTGGACTCACCTCTGCTCGCCTCTCACTGATGTGTCACGTTGGTGCCACCAGCACAGAACTGTGCCACCCCCTCCTCGGCTCCAGATGCTCGTCTTCTATTGATACAGCCCAAGTGCTCCTCTGGCTTGGAGGCAGCCACCTCTCGGCCCTCGGGCCACCCAAAGTCCCCCAGCGACAGTCACAGCCACACATTGCTGTGTACCTAAGCAACAGCCTAGTCTGCGCCTCTCCGCCTGGAGACGGAGGCCTGACATCTCCCAGGTCCTCGCCCTTTCCACTCCCAGTCTCGGGGCTGAGCCCATCATAGTGGCCTCAAGCCACTGTGGGAGTTTGGTTCCAGTTAACACAGTGATGTCTTCCGGGGGAAAGGCTTCCTTCTCTTAAAAAGAATCACAAGGGAGGTAATACTTTGCTTTAAAAGAAAAAGATTTATTTATTTATATATTTATTTATTTATTTGAAAAGCAGAATTACAGAGAGAAAGACAGAGACAGAGAGGTTTTCTAACACTGGTTCACTCCCCAGGTGGCCGCAACAGCTGGGGCCAGGCCATGCTGAAGCTAGGAAGCTAGAACCCCATCTGGGGTCTCCCATGTCGGTGGCAGGGGCCCAAGCACTTGGGCCATCTTCCTCTGCTTTCCCAGGTGCATTAGTAGGGAGCTGGATCAAAAGTAGAGCAGCTGGGATTCGAACTAGTGCCCATTTGAGATGCCAGCGTTGCTGGTGGTAGTTTAATCCAC